GGCTGTACCTCCTGAGGCATCGTATCGGTAGAAGTTAGGGCTCTCGAATTCGTCTCGACCGATTGTCGCCGGAGGCTCGTCTGCGTTGAAGGCGACGTTGCGCGCGCCAATGCTTCTTGCTAGCCACTGCACGTCGATCTCGGACGCTCTTGTCTCGACTACCATGCCCACAGGCGGTACGCTCGGATCGTATGCGCCGAATCTCCAGTTTCCGCGCCGCAGGTTGCCCTTCTTGGTCTTGACTGTGTCGCCTACGCTGAGCCGCTCGAGAGTGGTGTCGTCCTGTTCCAGCTCGGCCGGGTCCTCGACGACCACGACTGAGTTGTTGGCCAGCCTGATGGCGACCTCGTCGTATACGTTCTCTACCCGCCCCACCCAGTCGCCGTAGACGACCAAGGCGCCCTCGACGAATTCGTGTACGTTGATGAGCTCGTCGGCCGGAATGTTTCGTATGGATAGATCGTCGGTGGTTGTCTGTGTGATCTGGCCGCCGTTGAAGAGGGTCGCGGGAAAGAGGGTGCAGACTGCCTGGGTGCCAATGACGGTACCACTAATATGATCCTCGGCCTTCCTCTTGACCACATCACCTACGTACAGCGCGCGATCTAGCAGCTGAAGCTTTGCTTCTGGTATGAGTTCCGTCTTGTACTGGGTCTGCCATGACACTAGGACGGTACCCCGCGGTGGGATACCGTCTTTCATGAACTTCCAAAAATCTTCCCTGGGGATATCGGTGTGGCGTTCGATGTCGTCGGGGTAGTCGCGCTGTGGCCGGGGCTCGTGCGAGTCGACATCGCCAAAAGACCTCTCTATGATGCCGACGCTGTACTTGTCGTCCTTGAGCCCCACGGTATCCTCGACACAGAAGACGACATCCTGCGCGCTTTGCATTTGGCGTGCTGAAGTATGCGGTGGTGTGATTCCTGTCACTTGTGCAGTGTCGACTGGAATTTGCGGTACTGAAAAAGTATTTGAGGCGGTGAAGAAAGGCACGAGGTGATTCGAGGGTAGCGTTCGCGGCGAAATCGGTCGTGTTGGTGCAGCTTCGTCGTCGGCGGCCGAGAGGTCTGTGAGAAAACGATTCTGGAACAGCTCAGCGAGGAAGCGCTCGACTGCGTTAGGTTGCTGTGGTCTGTTTGCGTCGTCGTCCGCGCTATTGGGGTTGTCTGTGTGGGAGTGGCCGCGATCCATGAGTCCTGCGGTTCCAATGTTGCGGTAGCGGCCGCATGTGAAGTGCAAAGGGCGCTAACGCGGCAGGGGTCAGCCTCGTGGCACCTCCGCCCGCAACTCGACACCTGGGCAGCCACCCCACGCTGCCCTCGACACGCAATTCAACAGCTGCACGCGCCATTGGACGAGTGAAACGCGACAACATGGCGGATCCCCTCTACGAACTACTGATACCCTACTTCGACGCCCAGGACGCGCAGCTACGGCCCTCCCCCAATGACGCCGTTACCAACACGTACCTCTCCCGCCTCACGACCCTGCCCTTAGCGGCCCTCACATCCTCAGAGCAACAATCGCTATCACAGAGCTCGCAGTCCATACTACGATCACTGCAAGCTCTCTCGAAACGGTCGCATAAACCCATAATATCCTCGACCGACCACCTCCTACACCTCCGCAAGACACTCCCGCAGATAGGCCAAGATGCAGGCACCGTACAGACGCAGCTGCCGAATCTGGAAACAGCCGCGCAGAACTTCTCCGAGAAATACAGCAGAGGCGCAGATAATGCGATACTAGATAGACGGAGAAAGGCAATGCTGCTGTCCCGCAACATTGACCGCGTATCCGATGTGCTCGACCTACCGACCCTTCTCTCGTCCGCCATCAGCTCCTCTACAGCCGCCGCCCAAGCTTCGTCGTCAACGGCCACCGCCAACGCGAATTATGCCTCGGCTCTCGACCTCCACGCACACATCAAGCGCCTCCACACCCTTTACCCAAACTCAGAGCTGGTCTCATCGCTCACTGCCCAGGCTGAGCAGGAGATGAAGACTATGACAACCAATCTCATAAGCTCGCTCCAGACTCAGGGCATCAAACTGGCAGGTGCCATGCGAACAATCGGGTGGCTTAGACGAGTGGCCCCAGAACTGGATGAAGCATGGTCAACAAAACAAGCCGGCATAGGCAGTGGAGAAGGCACACTGGGCGCATTGTTCCTCGTATGCCGATTGGTCTGCCTGGAGCTGATGCTCAGCGCACTAGATCCTCTTCGCGAACTTGCAGATCAAGAGACAGAAAAGCGAACGACCAAGGCAGCGAAAGGCGACGCTGGCTGGGCCGTAGGTCAGCAAACAGAAAAGTATCTGAAGAAGTACCTCGAAGTCTTCCGAGAACAAAGCTTCGCCATCATATCCATGTACAAGAGCATCTTCCCCTCCGCCTTACCAGCACCAGGGTCCGACGAAAGCGCGCCAGCTGTAAAGCCAGTCAACACATCCAACCCCCTACAACCGATACCATCGGCCCTCGCAACGTTTCCGCTACACCTAGTAGAGATGCTCTTCGACACTCTGCGAACATATCTTCCAAACGTGCAAGATCGGTCACAACGGGACTCGCTCCTCACCCAGGTCTTATACTGTGCTGGTTCGCTGGGTAGACTGGGTGGCGATTTCAGCATGATGATTGCCCTATTGGAAGAGGACCTGCGGGCAGAGCTAGGAGAAGGTACGGAGGATACCGAGGTGCAGGAGGTCGAGGAAGAGTGGGTAGAAGTCATGAAGAAGCACCGTGTCCAGGCATCCAGACTTGAACTACTGGCTTCTGGTGTCGGCGCCGGAAGAACAAGTAGTCCTGTAGACCGAGCAGCGAGTCCAATGAGATAAAGCTTTTGCTGTACTCCGGTTTCAATACACGCCAGATGTCTGCATGGGTGTTTGTCTCATCGGCACATCCATGTGAAGATCCGCGAACACCTTCCGGGTGCATTACCGTAACCCTTTTCAAGAGCGCAAATCCCATCGTATTTCTTTAGCACGCGCACATGCCGTACACCCTTTGGACTTAGGCCGACCGATTAGGCCTAGCGTACATGCATCCCGGACACTCCTTCCAAGGGAAGCCGGCCGGGGAGCTGCGCCATCCTTACATGTGACAACGCGACTACCTCCTCGATTCATCATCAGATGTAGTTTGAGCTTGCAGTCTCCCGTGTATCCTCCTGGCGTAATCACCTTACGCTGCGCAATCAGAGATATGCCACATGTCACAAGGCCTTTGCCGGAGACATTGATCGTGGGCTTGCTCTATGCTCCGTAGGAAAGACCATGTATATCCCAGGCTACCCTTTCCCACTTAGGGTTAAACTTCAAAGCACCGTTGTAGCCTCTACGGGTTATTATACCTCACTGAACTGCTGGGAGGTAGGTCGACGTATTCATCAAACCGCTCCTGCATGCTACGGGTTTCTTCCCAAAGAAGTCAACGAGGAAGCTGCAGACCAACACTTCTGGGAAAGAGTAAGCCGGACTTCAAGCAGCAGCGCATGAGCACCTGCCCACGTTGTAGCTGCAATGTAATGAATCTCGCTCCGCGTCCTGTTTCCTGTTCCCTAGCACCCACAACAAGGGAACAGGTATGTGCATTTTTCTCAAGGCCTTTTTTTCTTTCACTGCAATTCTGCTTCAATGCGCTAACAATTATGTATCTATGTAGCTATCAACACTAAAAATCTCGCGAAAATGTTCGCCTGGCTCGACTGGAATCAAGTCGCCAACAAATGTCTCGGCGACTGCATCGCCGTCATGATTGGCCTGTTTCTGGCCTTTTTGCTGTGGCGTTTCGGCCCCGACGGGCTGTGGCTGAGGTTGGGTGGGGCGCTCGAGCGTCGCATCCTTGATGCGATGGTGAGGGAGGCGTTGAGGGAGGCGAGGAGGCAGATGGAGAGGGAGCGGGAGGAGATGCAGGAGGAGATGCGGGAGGTTTTGGCGCTTCTTCACCGTGAATTGTGATTTTCTACACTTATGCATGTCGCAACAGACCTACCTGGCAATACATGATACCACTACAAGATTCACACCTCAAACCAACTGCACGAGGATAGTATACACGCACCTCATCGCTATATCTTCGGCTCTAGTAGCCAGATCACCTCCATAAGCTCATCGTACCTAGCAAGCCGACACTCCTCGGATCTGGCTGGACAACAGCTACCGCCTTCCGCTCTAGCCATACAAGACGTCGTTCGCAGTCGAGTGATGTCGCAATCACTCAAAACGAACCCATCGCTTCCGCAAAATCTTCGCAACGCTTCCGCAGAACCTGATTTACTCACTCGATTATGGATGTAACCACTGGTCAGACCATTGAGTAGACAGTAACATTAGATAATGCAGCCCAAAGCCATACTCCAGACTCATCGCATATGTCCACGATACTGCGATGATTCATTGCCAAACAGCTACCCATCACCCCTAGAGCTCATCTCATACCTGTAATCAAGCAGCAATAATCCAAAGACGGAGCTATATCAATGCCAGGCCTGGCCCGTACGAGTCGACCTCGAGAGCACCCTAGAGTCTACATCAATGTTGCATCACTCACTTTGCATGGTCTCATGTTGTTGTAGGCTGCAACCCTGGTTAGGATTCTCCGTACATCGGGTGGAAGGCTCGACCTTGGGAGCACCCTGGTGTCTACATTGATGTTGGATTACCCACCTTTTCCGTGTATTTGGTGGGAGATTCGACCTCAAAAGCACCCTAGAGGCTACATATATGTTGAATCACCAACTTTGCGTGGTTTTATGTGTTGTGGGCTGCAAAACTAGTCAGGACTTTGGGTGGGAGGTTCGACCCGGACTCTACCTGGGTAGGTTCGGTTAGTCTTCTCATTCGCTACAAGGTTGCACATGCACATGCACAGTTCTTTTTTGGTAGCGAATACTGCCCTGGGCAGGCTTGAAATACAGAAAGACTCTACGAGCTGCACGAGACGCACTCCTTTCAACTTATTGCAACCCATCTAACCTTCCCAACACCGCGACCATGCCGATCATCAATCTTGGACCGTTCGGACGCTACCGTCTCTCAAAGCTACACGACACAGCCGAACAACAAAGTCTACTAGAGGATAAAAAATATTCAAAAACTGGTGGCACTGCCTCGAAGTCACTACCTTCTTATACATCACAAGGTGAAAACTGCGTGCCTCTGGGCTTGCCACCGAAGGAAATAAGACACTGTGCTCCTCCCAAGGCTCAAAAGCCAAACAGTCAAGTTCAGCAGCTGCAGCGATACATCCTCGAAATCCTCGCGATTACTTTCTCCGCAAATTTCGACACGCTCAACAGGGCTCTCCAGCATCCAACATCAGAAGGCACTACTACAATCCTCTGCGACGAAGAGCGATCGGAGCTTCTGGCGCTATCGGGTCTTGTACGCAAATGCCACGATCAGCTACATCGCGTTCCGGAAATTCGTATCGAGGCCAAAGACGAGATGACACTAAGCGACAAGATCTTCCGGCCCGGCCAGCAACTAGAGTACAACCTGGGCGAGTACGCCTTGGAATTGATAGAATGGTACGGATCCTACACTCGTGCGTGTGGGAATAGCCACAGCTGGCAATACACGATACCTGGCTATTGGGAGAAGAACCCTACGATGGGTTTCAACAATCTTAAGGAAAGCATGCGTACGTTCTCTCTGATCGTAGAGCACACGGCGCCTAGCCAGCATGTTTTCGACATTCTGCACGAAGCATGGGATGTCTGCCGAGAAAATCGCGGACTCGAATGCGAATACGAATTCCTAAGGAGCAGCAATCCGATCTACTGGGCTAGACGGAACGGATATCATCTCATGGGATCGATTCTGTCGCTGTATATTACGACGCTTGAAGTTGCGGGCAACGCGCCGGTGAGGCCGCGATTTCTGTGCGGAAAGCCACCGCGATTCCTGTGGAAAGCCACCTGGGGAGGAGGTGGTCGGTAAAGGATTTTTTTGAGTACAATAGATCTGCTGTCAAGCAGCCTTCATAAAACGCCGATCAAATGTAACACATGCCACTAGAATTTTATGCTCACCTCATACATGAAAAGACTGAACCAGGTCTGAACACTACATGGATAACATGCAAAGTGGGGGATCCAACATCGATGTAGGCTCCGCGCTCGTCGTTAAGTTAACATTCCATGCCGCTACCGTCCTCCCATCTCCTTATCCAGCACCTCCAACCCCACATCCAAAGTACTAATACTCAACAACGTCGCCAACTCCAACACCTCCATAATCTCGTCCTTCGTACCCCCATAATTCAACACATTCCGCATATGCAGCTTCAACCCCGGCTTATACATGTGCGTCGCCGCAGTATCAAACGCACAATATATCAACTCCTTAACCTTGGGTTCAAGCACGCCCTTGCCCCCCTCGTTCGTCCACGGCACAGAACTAAACTCTGTATACGCGTCGAAGAAGTCGGGTGCGATGAGCAGCATCTCTTCCCATAACGCGTTCCAGTATCCGCGTTTCGTCTCGAAATCTTGCTTTAGCGCGAGTTGCTGGGGGCTCATGCTCGCCATGCCTTTTGGAATGGCTTCGCCGCGTTCCTCAAGGACTTCGAAGAGAATTGGGACGCCCACTGTGGAGGCGTGGATGCCGAGGGTGGATGTGAGACACAGTGTTTCGACGATTTCAGCGCGGGAGGCGCCTGCGGATAGGGCGGCGCGGGTGTAGCGGTGGACGTTGGGGATGTGGAGGTGGGTTGATGATGCGCTTACGGCGAGGGAGATTAGGGACTGGATTTTGGGCGATAGATGGCTGCTTCGCTTTGGTATGGCTGTTAGGCGTAGCGATGCTGCGAACATCTCGGGTGAGTGTTTTAGCATCCGCGCCCAGGACTCATCGTATGCTGCGGAGCCAAGCTCGGTGTCGAAGCGCTCTTTTAGGCGCTGCTGGTCCGGTGAAAGAGACATGCTTTGTGATAGTATTAATATTTCCAATCAAGGCTTTGGGTACTGAGCATGAACAGTTCGCGCAGAATCTCTGGTGCGGAAATTACAAAGACAGTCGCATTGGAGCTATTGGACGTCATATAAGATCTCGGCATTGAAACATACACGCGAGTAGTATCTGTTTTGCTATTTCCGAGTAGTAGTCTGTGTGGATATGCCTGCCGCCCCTCAAAACGGGTATCCGAGGATGGTTGATGTTGGTGAGCAAGCAAGCCCCACATTTCCCCAACTCTGCCGTGTGGGGAAGCACAGGGATCAGCACACCACCCTGTGGCCGAACGAGAAGGAATTCAGCTGTGACGGATACCCCATATTGCGAGTCTGCAAAATGGTATGTGTGAAAGATGGTCGCTATCCCGATATACTGTTCAGAACAATTGCCAGGTGATGTCTTGAGTGCTAACAACTAATCATCCATGCTTTGCTCCGCGCCGAAGAAACGCGTCTTGTTCTTTGGGTCGTTCTCCCATTCAACGTCATGTGCAAAGATGATCTCAACCCCTTCTTTCTCCAGGGCTCTGATTCTGTCAATCGTCGCCTCAGCTTGCTTTCTGTCGGCATGTATGCAACAGACTTGTCCATGAGCATCATTCCATTCTCCAATCGATTTCTCGCCAGTCAACAGTCGTCTGTCGTGACATGCATCTCCACCCATATAGATTTGGTGATCAGGAGATGTCCGAGCAAGAAGATTGATGTGTCCTGGTAGATGACCGGGCGCGTCGACGATGAGCAGTGAACCGTCATTGAAGACATCCAAAGTCTGAGGGAGGTTTCCGTGCGTTTGCCAGGAGCCACTGAGGTTGATATCGCCCGTTCCCCTACATGAGTCGTGCTTCGTCAACACGTTTGCCGAAGGTTGCGATAGTTGAATCGTCCGCTCTTCTGGCAAAAGATCACGTTCGAAGAAAGAATGGCCACCGCGCAAAGACGACGATGTGCCATCCAACAAGGCAAGTGAGCCATGGCCGGCAACGAAGGTAGACGTAGGAAAGTCTCGAGGTTCGCCAATATGATCCCAATGCACCTGCCGTAGCCACGTTACCTACCATCCGTGAAGCAAGTTCGTGTGACTTACGTGCGAATAGATCACATAATCAATATCCTCGGGTACTAGCCCGCCTCTCGCGAGGCTTTTGGTGACGTCCGGATCGGTACTCATTGGCTGTCTCGTCTCGACATGCTTTTGTATTGGTGGCGCGTATCTCTTGATGTCTCTCCTCAGGCCTAGATCGAACACAAGCCGTGTCCGCTTCTTGGTGCTTTGGTTGTAGTGCTGTATCAGAAATGCTAACGAAGGTACGGTCCGGCGTGCATCTCGACTAACAGGATGTACGAATTGGTACTCCGGAAGTGAAAAGTGACCACACGATAACGCGTGCATAGTGACAACGGCCGGCGCTGCATGGTCGGACTGCTTTTGTGAGACAATAGCAGACATTTTCCAAAGATGATGGAGCTTTTCGTAGCTGATGTCGTCCTAAGGCAGAGGTTGCAAGACTGGCTGTTGAGAAGGATAGCCGCAGGTGATCTCATGCACTGGCAAATCGATATGGCACGTGAGATCATCGTTCAGCTTACCAAGGTACCTATGGGGGTACTAGGAGTTGGCGAAAGAGTGGGTGGGATTAGTGCGTCGTTATCCGTTGGAGAAACCTCTACCCCGCTTCACCAGCCGCGGCACGCTCACGACGCGTTCTGATGGTAGAGTGTTGACGTGTTTCTCAAAATCTCCAGATCTCGTATACACACCATTTTCCCACTCGACGCTAACTCTGTGTCGTCCCTGAAAGTACTCTCAGCTCCAAGTCAATCCCTTACCTCTATCTGGCACACGCATTCGTCATGACACATTCGCACGAGTTTGAAAATCTGGGCTTCATCGGCCTCGGGGCTATGGGAAAACCGATGCTTTCTCATCTTGCCAACAAATTGCCCGAGGAATCGCGCATTTGGGTTTATGACGTGGTCGAACAGATGGTAGACGATGCGTGTGCAGAGTTTCCCGGTCGAGTCTTGAAGGCAAAAAGCGCCAAAGACGTGGCGCAACAAGTCGTGAGTCCAGAAGCCACCGTGCGAAGATGGTAGCTAACGAGGCAACAGGACACAGTTGTAAGCATGGTGCCTGAAGGTGCACATGTACGATCCGTATATCTCGATCCTCAAAACGGCGTATGCAGCACCGATATCTCGAACAAGCTGCTCATCGACTGTTCGACAGTAGATACGGCAACCAGCCTCGCTGTGAAGGACCACATTGCCGCTGAGTTTCCCTCTGCGTCGTTCTATGACTCTCCAGTGAGTGGCGGCGTAGTGGGAGCTGTCAAAGGCACGATCGCATTCTTTCTAGGTTGTGCAGAGTCGGACCCTAATCTTGAGCGCCTCACATATCTGATGGGTTTGATGGGTGGGCAAGTGATACCTTGCGGAGGTCCATCCCTTGGACTTGCAGCGAAGCTGTCGAATAACTACCTATCGGGTATCATCGCCATAGCTTGCTCTGAGGCTTTCGACATGGGAATGCGCAGCGGACTGGATCCCCGCACTCTGGCCAAAGTATACGCTGCGGGTACTGCCCAGAACACTATTTGCGACAAGTTTTGCCCTGTCCCACATGTATACCCCGAAGCCCCGTCCTCAGGAGGCTGGAAGCAGGGATTCAAAGTGCAGCTGATGCGCAAAGACTTCGGTTTGGCAGTTGATATGGCGAAACGAGTAGGGTCGAGAAACGTATTGGGTGACGTTGGACTACAGACATACGATGGGGCAGCCAACGATCCGCGTTGTAGAGATTTGGACTCACGGGTGGTATATCGCTACCTCGGTGGCCAGGAGGACTGGCAATCTAAATCGAACGGCGCGTGAGCAGCAACTTGGGTTGTGACACCCCATAGTCGTCATACCCGATGTCGCTGGATCTCGATGTGCTGTGTGTGACTAGTCGCATTAGCGCCATGTTGAAGTTGGAGAAGGTTGGGGATGCTTGGGGTAATGCCGAGGGCGGGCAACCGTGGGATGAAGCTACCATCGCGGGGCAAGCATGCCAGTCTTGTTAGCTTGTCACAGTGCTAGTACTACGAACGTACAGTAGAAAGACTATCGTCATTCTCATCCTGTGCATTCGTCTTGAGATAGACAGCCTCTTTCACGTCAAAGCCGCAACAGCTGCCATCGCACCTCGAAGCAACCGACCGCAAGCATGTCGACCGATCCGAAGCTCGACGAGCTACATAAGCAGCTCTTCGATGAAGGACTGAAGATGAGACGGAGTGTGGTGGGAGATGAATACGTCAATCGCGCGCTGGAGAACGGGTCCACTGAGTTCTCACGAGCCGGACAGGAGCTCGTCACCGAGATGTGTTGGGGATACGCTTGGACGCGCCCAGGCCTCGACAAGAAGCAGAGGAGTCTGATCAACATCGGCATGCTCATGGCACTGAATCGCGCCCCGGAGCTCGCCGTACATGTGCGCGGGGCAAGGAACAATGGTCTTTCCGAGCTTGAGATCCGTGAAGCCATTATTCACGCCACAACATACTGCGGTGTGCCGGCTGGGGTCGACGCGATGAAGACAGCTGAGAAGGTCCTGAATGACATGGCAGAGAAAGGCGAAATGCCGCGAGAATTGGGCGAAAGGAGCAAGAAAGCGTGAAGATTGTTGGCTTGTGATGCTGGACAGAAGACGCGTCGCGTCGCTTTGGACTGTGGCTGGGGCAAGTGGCACCCGGGATCATCCGGCCCGGGCAGGCACGATTTAATCGACAGTCATCGTAGCAATACCACCATTCTCCATACCTTGCTTCTGCGCGAAAGTGTCAAAACAACATCTTACACCTCATCCATTCTATCAATATGCGTGCATCCTGGACTGTGGGTACCTGTCACATGTGTGATTGGTGGCTTTCCCACCTCTTCCCAGCACCCCGCATGTGAACCGTCGCGTCCCCGCGCTTCATTCCTTTCCCCACAATCTCACGTCCCGACTTCGTGAAACACGACTTGCAGTCTCCAAACTTCGTCCAAGTGCTCAGGCTGCTCCAAAACTCGGCTATCGCCTACTAAGCCAGTCGCAATTTGGCCCTGTGTGAGCGAAAGCGTCGCGATTGGTCTTTGATGGAAGCCGCCGCTACCAGTGGAGAGCAGGTCCCGCAAGCTCAACCGGGGAAGAAGGAAAAGCGATTCCAATGTCCACACTGCCAACGGGCCTTTGCTAGGCTGGAGCATCTCCAGCGTCATGAGCGCATTCGTAAGTCGTGCGGCTCGCGTCGTAAGCCAATTCTAATATGCGTCAAGATAGCGGTGTGAAGCCCTTCAGCTGCGCAGCATGCAACTATTCATTCACACGCAGGTATGATACAGGCAGCATCGTGTACGGCAGCAGCTAAAGACTCAATTCAAGTGATCTACTCGTTCGCCATGAGCGACTCACTCATCGCAAAGAGCAGAGTGCACAGCAGAATCACCAGCATACTCCCGCTGGAGATACATATGGCTCGGTCGAGACTCGGCCGCACAAGCGCATGCGGTCAAGTTTCGATGCTGGACGTCCAGTGCCCGAAATACCCAGTATGATGTCCTCGCCTGCTGTTTTGGACGTGCAATCGTCGCAACAACCCGCAATGTCACACGCCTCCATGACGTTCGGGCACAACAGCCCCTACTCTTTGACAGCATTGTCCATGGCTGCCGAGTATCAAGCTCTTCAAGGCAACATGGCAAACAGCTCTGCTCATGATGCGATGCCAACCCCAATGCCTTCGCATGCTGGCACGATAGCCGCGAGTGTTCAAGGCCCACACTCTACCATGCTCACGGAGCCGTCTGCTCACAGCTATGAGTCGACCTTTGGAGAGTCACTGGACAGTCTCACCTCTTTCCTTGACAGTGAACCGCTAAACTCGTACCACTTTGCGTCTCTGATCAATACGGAACAGCCCATGCCTTTCTTCTCTCCAGATTCATTCGGCTACGGTCAACAAATGGCGACCGAGCCGGAAGGGCCAACAGCGCCTACCCATGGTTGGAGACCAACCCAATTAGAAGAGCCGCCGTCGCTTTCACGCTTCGGCTCTCGTTTTCCTTCCTTGCAGCCGGACGATCAATCCGCTCGGAAACGATCATTCGCAGACATTTCACACGAGGATCGGCAGGAGATTCTCGAGATGCTCCAGCCCTTCTCCATGGTCATACCCAGCGACTTCGTTCTACCAACTCGATTAGCACTGTGCAGATACATCGCTGCATATATTAACGGGTTCCACGAGCACATGCCTTTCCTCCATATACCCACAATGTCCGTGGAGACGTGTTCGATAGAGCTACTCCTAGCATTGGCGGCTATTGGTGCGCAATACACTTTTGAGGGCGAAAAGGGTGTCGAGCTGTTCAACGTAAGCAAAGCAATTGCGACACATCGTATCAGGAAACGGGATACGCGCCTGGTGCAGCTCCAGCATCATTCTGAGTCGGATCACTCGTCGCCCCACAATCATCCGAGCGACCCTCGTAGCCCTCAACGTAAGGGTTCCGTCTCGGGACCGCTGGGCCTGCCTTCCCAGGCTGATGTTCCTGTACTTGGCGAAGATCTCATGCAGACCGCTCAGGCACTACTCTTGCTTATGGCACTGTGTACTTGGGCCAAACACAAAGAGATTCTCAGAGAGGCGTTAGCAATCCAAAGCATCCTAGCTACCCTCATTCGGGATGACGGACTCGAGACCGAACCTCTCCATGAGACCATCTCATGGTCGGACTGGATTCGGCGCGAAACGATCAAAAGGACCAAGTTCATCGTCTATGGCTTCTCCAACCTCCATTGCATCGTCTACAACATTCCTCCATTCATGCTAACGAGCGAGGTCAAGTTGCCCTTGCCATGCAGTGCCGCGGAATTCAAAGCTCCTACAGAAGCTTTGTGGAGGGAAGCGAGGAAGAAAAGTGCGCCTGAGGTCCTGTTCCAGGATGCACTGAAACGTTTGTTTACAAAGCAAGGCCGCGACGTCACCGAGGTCAACTCGTCGTCTGGGAACTACGCGTTGATACACGCCCTGATACAGCATGTTTTCTTCCTCAGACAAGTGGCACGATGCCGTTTTGAAGGACCCGGTGATCTCAGTGCAGAAGACGTCGCGTCGCTCGAGAACGCTCTGCGGAACTGGCAGACCGGATGGCGCCAAAATCCTGAATCATCGCTCGACCCAATGTCGCAGAACGGTCCTGTCGCTTTCAACTCAACTGCGTTACTTCGATTGGCATACATACGACTCTACGTAGATACCGCAGGTCGAGCTCTCGAGACACGCGACCCTGTGCTGATTGCCAATGCCTTCCGCGCCGGACCTACAATCAGGCGCTCGCCAAAGATCACAAGAGCTGTACTCCATTCGGCTCACGCACTTTCCATACCCATCAAGATCGGCTATCGTCTCGTAGCAAAGACACAATCGTTCATCTGGAGCATCCAACACTCCTTGTGCACGCTCGAGTGCGCCTACCTCATGAGCAAGTGGCTCGAAGCACTGTCGGTACCAGAAGCAGACCCACCCGTCACAGAAGATGAGCACAGAATCATCGCGATCGTGAAAAGCATGTTGGATGAGACTGAGTTTGCCGTACCCGCCGATATCACGCCCGATTCGCCCAACTTTACACGACATCTCAGCGCTGGGGTGCTCAGGGTCTGGGCGATGATCTTCAAAGGATCTCAAACATGGGCTATCGTTGATGTTATCGGGAGCTCTCTCAATCTGTATGCGGATATTCTGGAGTCTGGGTGAGCAAGCCTATAAAGATGCTCGATTTTACCAATCACACGCAACGACTTTTGTGGACCTCAGCCGAGGCGGTTGGCTTTCCTGATGCAAACCAGGGTTGAGCATCGAATGAAGCCAAGCCTGAAGCACCATGGGCACGGTAAGGGGTTACGGTATTACCAAGCAGAAGCAGGAATAGAACTTCGGGTCTCTTCACCAGGTGTACGGGGGTCAGTCAGCCCACTGTCATCGATGCGCATCGAAGGGGTCCTTCCTTCAGAACCAGCACTGCCACTTCCACAATGGAGCTTGTGGTGCGAAGCAAGACGTGGAATTGACGAGGCGCCAGACATGCTTCGAATGGGTTGTCGCTGCAATCTAGTGGACACGTCCGTTTGAGGTGTGTGTTGCGTGGGATACAGCCACACGCTGGTGCGACTGTCAGCAACAGTGCCAGTGAGTTGGAAATGGGTATGTTCCAGATGATCCCGAATATTGCACGCGCTTCTGGTGGTGTCGAGATAGCTACCCAATCACCGAATCGGCACACGGTAGCTTGGCGATAAGATGGAGGCGCACATCTTCAAACAGCTTATATCCATGCCGACTAGCAACTGTTGTTGAGACATGATCTTAGCTCTTGTGCTTGGCTGAAGATGAAGTTGTAGCTTAGAAAGCTTTCGACGGATATAGATGGGGCTGATAATGAATAGCCATGCATTCTCCTACAGGAATGTCATCGGGACGGAGTTGCTCAACCTAGCCGCGAGTTAATACCTTTCGCACACCCTACCTCAAACAGCGTGGATGCTCAATCCAACTGCATGCCGCGCCATCATTCGTGAGTCCAGTTAATTACCGTGCTGCCGGGCGTATGTGCAAGGTTCAGTCCAACTGCATATCGGTTAAGACAGTGGCGCATCGGCATGGCGTCAAGCCTATCCTCGGGTTGGAGTCCCAACCCTTGCGCGCTTTCGGTATATCTGACATAAGCAGCGCCTGTACATGCAGTGAAATGGATATGATTTGAAGTGGCATGTATGGATGGATGGTGTATTTGCCTGGCAGCGTGCATTGTTGTTGTCCAGCAGTGAATGTCTCATGGTGGTGCAG